CTACCTTGCAGAGGCTGAGTGCCAGCTGTCAGATACCTCCTCCTACCTTTCCCTGGATAATAACCCCACCATGGCACATCAGGCCATTGAATCCACTACAGTTATGGATCTCATTTCATCCGGTGATCTCCCCCCATCTGCTTCCAAGCTAATAGTCCCCCAACCCCGCACAGCTCGTTTCTACCTCCTGCCAAAAATCCACAAACAGGACTGTCCAGGTAGACCCATTGTTTCAGCCTGCTCATGCCCCACCGAACTCATCTCTTCCTGCCTTGACTCCGTCTTCTCCCCCCTGGTCCAATCTCTACCCACATACATCCATGATTCATCTGACGCCTTACGCCGGTTTCAAAGCTTGTGCAATCCCTTTACACATCCATTCCCTACCAGGAGGGACTTCGGGCTCTCCGCTTCTTCCTGGAGCAAAGACCTGAACCATCCCCAACCACCACCACCCTCCTCCACTTGGCTGAGCTTGTCCTCACCCTCAACAACTTCTCTTTCAACTCCTCTCATTTTCTTCAGGTAAGAGGGGTTGCCATGGGTACCCGCATGGGCCCGAGTTATGCCTGTCTCTTCGTGGGGTACATGGAACATTCCTTGTTCCAGTCCTATTCCAGCCCCCACCCACAACTCTTTCTCCGATGCATCGATGATATCATCGGTGCTGCTTTCCTCTCTCGTCGAGAATTGGAAAACTTCATCAATTTCGCCTCCGATTTTCACCTGGTCTATCTCTGACTCCTCCCTTCCCTTCCTCGACATTTCTGGGGATAGACTGGCCATTAATATCCATTACAAACCCACCGACTCCCACAGCTACCTGGACTATACATCCTCACACCCCACTTCCTGTAAAGACTCCATCCCATTCTCTCAGTTCCTCTGTCTCCGTCGTATATGTTCAGATGAGGCCAACTTCAACAAGGGAGCCTCCGAAATGTCCACATTCTTCCTCAACCTAGGATTCCCCAGCTCCGTTGTCGACAGGGCCCTCAATCAGGTCCGACCCATCTCCCGCACTTCTGCCCTCACCCCTTCTCTTCCCTCCCACAACAGCGATAGGGTTCCCCTTATCCTCACCTACCATCCCACCAGCATCCACATCCAGAAAATCATCAGACGCCATTTCCGCTACCTCCAGCAAGATGCCACCACCAGACACATATTTTCCTCCCCTCCCTTGTCCGCCTTCTGAAGCAACACTTCACCTGCACTTCCAAGAATCTAGTCTACTGCATTTGCTGCTCACAATGTGGCCTCCTCTACTTTGGGGAAACGAAGCGTAGACTTGGTGACCGCTTCGCAGAACATCTACGTTCTGCTCGCAAAAAAGGACTCTGAACTACCTGTTGCCTGCCACTTCAATGCACCACCTTGCTCGCTGGCCAACATCTCTGTCTCCGGCTTGCTGCAGTGTTCCAGTGAAGCCCAGCGCAAGCTGGAGGAACAACACCTCATTTTCCGCTTGGGGACCCTACAGCCCTCCGGACTCAATATTGAGTTCAATAATTTTAGGGCCTAAACTCTCCCATGTCCCAGCCCCGCACCCCACACACCCGGCCTTGTTACCACATAGCCTGCCACTGCACACCCACTGTTGTTAGTCACTAACAGTCCCCATTAACAACTATTCACCCTCCCAGCCTGATCGTTAGCAACTCCTTTGTCTGTCCAACTGTCTTTCTCTTTCTTTGGGCTCTATCCTATCGTTTATTCCCTACCCCACCCACCTCCCTATTTTCTACATATAAACTGATGTTTTCCCAGCCACCATCAGTTCTGAGGAAGGGTCACCGGGCCCGAAACGTTAACTCCGTTTTCTCCTTCACAGATGCTGCCAGACCTGCTGAGCTTTTCCAGCAACTTTATTCTTGTTATCCCATTGTCTGCCATTATGCATTACCTAATGCTAGCCACTAACAGTCCTCATTAACAGCTATTCACCCTCTCAGTCAGATTGTTATCCACTTTCTTGTCTGTCTGACTGTTTTCTTTGAGCTCTATCCCCACCTATCATTAACTCCTTAGCCCCTCACCCTACCTTCTCATCTGCATGTAAAATAACAATTTCCTAGCTACCATCAGTTCTGAGGAAGGGTCACTGGACCCAAAGTGCTAACTCCGATTTTTCTTCACAGATGCTGCCAGACCTGCTGAGCCTTTCCAGCAATCTCTATTTTTGTTTGAGGAAGAGATTGTTATTTTTGCACCACATCACCAAGCATTCTATCTCCTTTATGTATTCTGTCTCATCATTGATTGCTATCCATCCTACAACGGTGGTGTCGTCAGCGAACTTGTAGATGGAGTCAGGATGAAATTTGGCTACACAGTTATGAGCATACAGGGAGTACATTAGGGGGCTAAGTACGCATCCTTGCCAGATGCCGGTACTGAGGATTGTCGTGGAGGAGGTGCTGTTGTCTATCTTCGCCAATTGCTGTCTATGGGTCAGGAAGTCGAGGATCCAATTGTAGAAGCGTGAGCGGAGGTCTAGATTTACCAGATTGTAAGTCAATGGAAGATGATAAACTGCAGTTTATTGCGGGGTTAAAGCAGCCAGTTGGGATACTTGTGCAGCAAAAGTAATTATCACTGACCATTGAATCTGAGTTTAATAATAGGGAAGGTATTGTTTTCAAATAAATCAGATCCACCTGTTGTCAGGTAGGTATCTATCAGCTGGATCACAGTAATCAGGAATATAATTAAGTAAATAATCACTAGAAAATGCTGCCAAGGAAACAGCACCGATAATTTCAAGGTTAATGGATGTTGAAGATAAGATGCAATTGGACCATAGCCAAAGGAAAGGTAAGGGGCCGTAACTAAAAGGTCTCAGCTGTGGCCTACTGGTCATACTCATACTTCTCAGTCAAAAGTTTGTGGGTCAAACACAATTCCAGCTGGCATCTCAGTGCAAAACTGAAGAAGTGCTGCATTGATGCATGTGTTATCTTTGGGATGAGATGGACCAAAGCTCTTTATGCCCTTTTGGAAAAGATCAAGAGCAACATTTATCCTTCAACCTAAATTACTAAAATAGATTAAATGGTCAGAAATCTCTTGGCTGTTTTGTGGGACTATGGTGTTTGAAATTGGTTGCCTTGTTTCCTACATCAAGCAATGACTGCATAAAAGTATCGGCAGTGAAGTGCTTTTACAATGTCCTGAGGTTGTGAAACATGCTATTACAATCTTATGATGAAAACCCAATCAGCTTTTTGTTGCACCAGTGACAACTTAAATTCAGTATGCACCATTGCACAGTACAGAACAAAGTAATTAAAATTAGGAGTCGCCTGTACTCCATGGACTGGACAAATTTGAAAGGATGGATACAACACTGAGTTTTGGAGCAGTAATGATTTGTCATTCAATATGCAAGTACCAACTATGAGGCAGCAGCAAATAAAGCAAAATGAGTCACTATTTATATTTGTGATAAAGTTGTGGTTTAATATTTTTCCGCAATACAGGCCATCTGTAACACATGCCACAATTTGTCCAATGCAGTCTTCGACTGCAAATTGAAGTTAATGCATATATTGTGTGTCCAAATCATTTGAATATGAATACCCAGAATCTGTGCTGGAGCTATGCAGTACTCATTAATCCACTCTTGAAATGCTACATACAGCTTTAGCATAAGTTAACCAAGAGGCTTGAAAGATAATACAGGGTAGAGAAATGCAGCTGATTCCAAAGTTGAATGGATGACAAGAGACCAACCTCCTTGAGAAAGGTATATGAGCTATTAAAAGGATAGAGGAAGTAAATTCCCTAGCAGTACTTTCGGATTTACAACTGTAGCAAGACTCAGATTCAGGATTGTGAAGCTAAGTTTATAACGGATGTCAAAGTATGCTTTTATATCGAGAATGATCAGCATAATGAGTGACAAATCATTACTGCTCCAAAACTCAGTGTTGCATCCATCCTTTTGAATTCTGTCCCTTACCCCTCCCTATTTCTGAAGAAGGGTCCCAACCCGAAACATCAGCTTTCCTGCTCCTCTGATGCAGTCTGGCCTGCTGTGTTCCTCCAGCTCCACACTGTGTATTAATCTGATTTTTTTTTTGTTTAAAATATTGTAATGCGTAAATGGTACTCTGGAAGGATCACATCAAGAGGCCTTCATCCAAATCTTTCACTAATTTGTAAATATCACCTACAATTTACAACAAAGGCTTAATGCATGCATAAAACAAAAAAACGTTGAATAAATTTTTAATTTGCAATTTTAGTTCTGCAAGATGATAGTTTGATTATAGCTTTTTACCATTTTACACAATATCTGTTTTGGGAGTATTCTTGGATAGAAAGCATTGAGGAGAACATCAGTTGGTAAAGGCCATTGCACAAATTCATAACAGTGAGAATGACTGAATAGTGAAAATAGACAACAATATTTATTTTTATGCCCTCCTTATTCTTTAAACATGGGAGGGAGTTACAGTCTCTCACTTCGTTGAAGTGATTGAGCACAGATTCAGAATTTAACCAAGAACTTTCCTGAGCAGTTTCACTTCGTACCATATCATAGTTACTAATGTACTTAGTGAATTGTACTTTAAAACTTTTCAATATATGGTAGGAAAAAGCAAGACTATCTTTGACTTTTAGTAATAAATAGATGTTTAGAAACACTGGAAATATTAACATTTTATATGGTAATTTCACTGTTTAATGGAAATTATTTAAAATAGATTTATTGAAAATATTACTTTTACTTAACATACACAGCCCATATACTGTAGTTAATAAAGTTTTATACTGCTTATTAAGAATGGCCCACAGTCTCCTAAAATAATGTTCATTAAAATATCCACTGTTTCAGTGTGGCTTCCTCTTTTGCCATTCTGGTGCTTTATGCAGACTTAATTTCTTACGTTAATTTTTTCAGCATCTGAGTTCATCAAATAGATTCAAAATCAACATTTTAAGGATTTTCATGATCTGCATTTGAATAAATACATCAAAAGAGGATACACTCATTATAATTCAGTAAAACATTTATTGCTTCAATTATCCAAATTTAGTCTGTACTTAATATATGCTTTTGGTATTATCCACAATTCAGAGTAAGCACTGTATGTGAGAACTGTTGTTCAGAGTACATCCAAAGTATAGATAAAGTTAGTTGCAGTAATGAGTACATGGTAGAATTAAGATCATTTAGTGATTTTGCAAAACATTTTATCTCTTCACATTAGCTATTATTTTGCATGATATAATCAGAGGGTAGACATATACTACAAGAACTGTGTCTATTCATCCATTCAATTTTCTTAGTGTTGGTTATTTCTTCAAGTTCCTTCTATTTTCAGATTGTGTCAGTCTTGGTTAAACAAACTGGAACGTATTATGCAATATTAAAGTGCTGATAGTTCCATATCTGTAGGAGCTTAGTTATGAGAAAAAAAAAGCACATTAAAAAATCAATAAAGGAAAACTCTTAGATTTGAACATGCTTCCATATGAAAAATAAATAGATGTCCCTTTTAATGTCACAAGTGAGCATTATAAAGAAACTTCAACATTGTGTTTTTCTGAATGTTTTAAAAGTTAAGCAGCTTTGCTGTCAGATGTGACTTCTGTTTATATCAGAATGCTGGTTTTCACAGTTTTGAAAGACCTCACTGCAAGCATCCCTCATTTGTTGATTCTGTTCTCTTAACACCTTCCAATTCAAGAAACAGTAGAGTAGAAATTTGTTTTGCATGGTATTTCAAAATGAGCAGCTAAATCATAGAATCCCTACAATGTGGAAGCAGCCCATTTCACCAATCAAGTCCACACCGATCTTCCAAAGAGCATCTCACCCAGCCCATCCCTATCCCCTGTAATCCTGGATTTCCCATAGCCAATCCACCTAACCTGCACATCTTTGGTATGTGGAAGGAAACCCACACAGACACAAGGAGAACGTGCAAACTCCACACAGCCCGAGGCTGGAATCAAACCTGGGTCCCTGGCACTGTGAGGCAGCAGTGCTAACCATTGAGCTGCTGAAATAGTCTTTCACAGACATTCCCAGGTCTGCTGGGTATTTCCAGCAATTTCTTTAATTTCAGATGTACAGCATTCATAGTATTTTGCTTTTGAATTTCTAACTCATGGTATTCACTAAATTAAAATGTAGTTTGAAATGTTATAATTCTGTATTCTATGTGTCTTAGCATTTATTGCAATTGGGCTTTGCACATAATTGTTTATGTAAGGCAGTTTGAGGACAAAATTTAGTGTAGTCATTTGACTGGTTTTGACCATATTTTTAAAAGAAGAAGAGTACCTTTTCCAAGTATTCAAAGACAACAGATATTCGAAAAACTGGGTCAGAAGATGCATATTACACGAACGACACCAAGAAGAAACTACACCCCCTGACACACTCATCACACTACCTTACATCAAGAACACATCTGAACCGACTACAAGACTCCTACGACCACTGGGCATCAGAGTAGCACACAAACCCACATCAACCCTACGCCAACTGCTCACACGAACCAAAGACCCACTACCCACTATGGACAGGACCAATATCATATACAAGATTCCCTGCAGAGACTGTGACAAACATTACATTGGACAAACAGGAAGGAAATTAACTACAAGGGTACACTAACATCACTTGGCAACAAAAAGACACGGCCAATGCTCACTCATCTCCATCCACATGGATAAGGAAAACCATCAATTCGACTGGGACACCACCAGGATCCTGGGACAGGCGAAGCAGAGACAAGCACGAGAATTTCTAAAAGCCTGGTTCTCTACTAAGAAAGCCATCAATAAATACATTGAGCTAGACCCCATGTACACTCCATTGTGAAGGAAAACGGAAATGTGAGGTAATCCAGCTCAACGGACACCAGAGTTTAAATAACAGGCGGGAAAACACAACAGCGCTTCATCGGAGGCTGCACTGATGATGTTACCCAGCAGGGTAATGAAATGTCTATGGAACAACAAACCAGCTCGGCAAGCCAACCAACCACAACATCCACAAGCCAAGCTACAAATTTATTCTAAAACCCTAAAAGCTGATAAAAGCACTTTTTTGATCTTTGGTCACATGCTTAAGTTGATGAGTACTATTTGGCAGGTCTTAATGGACACATGAAAAATGTCAAACAATTCAACTTGATAAAAGCTACAAAGAAATAAATAAATGGGAATCCTTCAAGGTGGAGTTACACTTTTTAAAAAAGTTATTTTCTTCAGAAAGGAAAGAAATAGGGTCATTTATACACTCACTAACACATTGAGCATAGCAATCAGATGGTCTAAGACCACATTACAACATGATTGGGTGGCATGGTGGATCAGTGATTAGTACTGCTACCTCACAGCACCAGGAACCAGGGTATGGAGTGTAGAGTGGAGTATTCATATTCCCCCCATATCAGTGTGAGTTTCTTTCTACAATCTAAAGATGTGAAGTTTAGGTGGATTGGCCATGGAAAGTGCAGGTTTACAGGGATAGGATGGGCCCAAGTGGGATGTTCTTCAAAGGGTTGGCGTGGACTCAATGGGCTGAATGGCCTGCCTCCACAATGTAGGGATTCTACAAACAACTCATAGAATTATACAGCACAGAAACAGACCCTTCAGTCCAACCTGCTTGTGCCAACCAGATATCTTAAACTGATCTAGTCCCATTTGGCCCATATCCCTTTAAACACTTCTTATTCTTGTACCCGTCCTGATGCCTTTTAAATGTTGTAATTGTACCCACCTCCACCACTTTGTCTGGCATCTTGTTCCATGCAACTACCACCCTCTGAATGAAAAAGTTATCTTCAGATCCCCTTTAAATCTTTCTCCCCTCACCTTAAACCTATGCTCTCAGGACTACCTACCCTGGAAAAAAGACCTTGGCTATTCACTCTATCCATGCTCCTCATGATTTTGTAAACGTCTATAAGATCACTCATTAGCCTCCAACACTCCAGGGAAGAGAGCCCTAGACTATTCAACCTCTCCATGTAGCTTAAACCCTCCAATCCCGGAAACATCCTTGTAAATCTTTACTGAATTCTTTCAAGTTTAACAACTAGTATTTTTATTCAAGGTAGTAAATATCTCAAAACACTTCACAGAAGCATTTATACAAAATTTCACATTAAGCCATGTACGGAGATATGGACAAAAACCTGGTCAAGGAAGTAGGTTTTAAGGGATATCTTAAAAGACATAGGGGTATAAAAGTCTTGGGAGCAAATTCAGAATACATAGAATCCCTACAGTGTGGAAACAGGCCCTTCGGCCCATCAAGTCCACACCGTTTATCAGAGCAACCCCCCCGCAAACACGTTCCCCTATAATCTTTTCTGAAGAAGGGTCTAGGCCCGAAACGTCAACTTTCCTGCTCCTCTGACGCTGCTTGGCCTGCTGTGTTCATCCATATCTACACCTTGTTACCCCTATAATCCACCTAGTTTACACATCCCTACGGCCAATTTAGCATGGCAAATCCACCTAGCCTGCACATCTTTGGACTGCGGGAGGAAACCAGAGCACTCGGAGGAAACCCACACAGACATGGAGAGAATGTACAAACTCCACACAGACAGTCGCCCGAGTGTGGAATCAAACCCGGGTCACTGTCTCTGTGAGGCAGCAGTGCTAATCACTAAACCACTGTGCTTAGATCGGGCTTAGATTGCTAAAAGTACAGCTGCCAATGTTGGAATGATTAAAGTCAGCAAAGTAAAATATGCTAGAATTTGTGTAGTACAAAATCTTGCAGAGTTGTAAGTCTCTAGGACATTAGATGAATTTAACAAGGCCATGGACACATTTGAAAACAATGATGAGAAGTTCACAATTGAAATATTGCTGTGCCAGATTATGGGTGGTCAGGAAAAGCAGAGTGTTGGATTAATAGGTTTTCTGGAGAAGCTCAAGTTTATATGTGTGTAAAGTGAGGAACTTCTTGGACTAGCCAAGTGTAATTGTAACGAGCATGAATTAGGATTTAAGCAGCAAAATGAATTAAGACAAATTTGTGGCAGACAATACAATAGATACAGAATAAGGAGGTCTTGCTGATGAAGATTATATGAAATTGGAAGTTTATTTCCAGGTCAAATAGGAGACTAAGGTTGCAAAATCGATGTGGTTCAGTCTCAGAAATCAGGGAGAGGATTCAGGTTGGCTGTTAAATCCATAAGAGGAACAGAAGATTCTGGCTTCAGTATTAGTAACCTTGAGAGGGAGGAAATTTCTACTCAGGGCACATTGGCAGTATAACAATTCAGAAGGTGTGCGGGTATCAAAAGAAGTTGTGGTGAGGAATAGCTGGGTGAAATCAATATGCATGTAGAGGCTGGTGGTTCAGATATTGCCACAAGGAAAGAACACATTTATGGGAAATGAAAAGTGACCAAGTATAGGTCTTAGGGGAACCTCCAGAAATATTGGTGCAAGAATGGGAAAATAAATCATTGCAGGTGATTCTGTGGCTACAACTGCACAGAAAGGAATGCCTAGGTAATGCAGTTCTATCCAACAGGAAATGAAGGAGGCACTTTGAAGGAGGATTTTGTGCTCAACCGTTTCAAAAGCTGCAGATAGGTATCAAAAAAGCTGAAGAAAGATGATTTTATCAATCACAGTCACATAAGATGTCATTTCTACTTTTGTAAGAACCATTTCACTGCTGAGGTGAGGCAAAGATTAAAACTGGAATACTGAGAAAAATAAGCACGGAGTTGGGAATTGATGGCATCTTCAACAATTTTGGAGAGGAAAGGAAGGAAGGACTGTCTTCAGGGTTTCAATGGCTGGAGAATTAATATAATGTTTCTGACCTATACACCATTTGAGTTCCCTCCTAAGAAAATAAGATTTTACTCTCCAATTTTCCAGTCATATTTGAGTGCTAGGGGCAGTTTCTTTTTTGCTGTGCAATGGTGCCCTAGGTTCATTTGATGTAAATTATTGGGCAGATGTTTAAATGGATGAGTTGCTTTATATTCAGATATGCTATGCATAAGACTATAATACATAATACAAAATATTGACATTTGTTCAAATAAAAGGGCTGCATTAGTGTACAAGAATGTAGACAAGCCAACTCTATCACTATCTTTCAAGGATGCATCTGTGAAAATTGTTACTTGAGAAACTATCCATCATGGGTGGTGCACAAGTTGAAGGAACAATATATTTTCCTCCTTCACATGATGAAAGATAGGTACAATCTGTGTGTTCAGCAGGTATACAAGATATCCTGTTAATTTAGATCTTCATACAAAATCTTCCATTTACTGTTTTCAACGAAATCAACTAATTTTGTGTATTATGCGTTTTTTCTTTGCCATGGGTTTGCTAAAACTCCTAAGAATTGTAGTCAGCCTCATCAGTATTCAGGAATTCATCAGCCTGCAGACTCATTCACTGGAGGAATTTACTTATTTAAATGTGAAAGCTGATAGTTAACCAATCTCAAGGAAGGAAGGAAGGAAGGAGCAAAAGTGGCAGCACACAAAGGGCAAGTTGCTGCTTACTGGAAACCTAACAGCATCATCAACCTTGGTGAATCAGGAGAATTAATAGCACATCAAATATCTCCTTGCAGAGTATAATGCAAACAATTCTATGTTGTTGCATAGTGTAGCGCAAGAAGAGTTCAGTATCTACCCCTGTTTTTGAGCAGGATATCATTTGGAACAACAAAGATGCAGACACAAAGTTTTATCAGAGTACTTTATGGTTCTCTTAATTGTTAGACATTTCAAAAATTCTCTCAGCTTCCTCTAATGATTTGATTTGATTTGATTTATTGTAGTCACATGCACCTAAGTACAGTGAAAAGCTTTGTTTTGTGAGCAGTACAGACAGATCATAGCAAACAAGGGCATACAGATCATAGGGTGCTTAGAGAGCAAGGCATATAGTTACAATTGCACAGGAGGTGCAAAAAGCAAGATCAACATTAGCAAGGTCAACATTATTTGAAGTTAAAGAGTCCATTCAGCAGTCTAATAATGGCAGGAAAGAAGCTGTTCTTGAACATTTTAATATGTGTGTTTAAACTTCTGTATACATCCTGATGTTAATTTTAATATCCTTGCCAAAGTGCTAAAATAAGGCACCTGTGATCTGAATAATTAATAAACTATAAACTGCCTAGTCTCTATAGTCATCGCCTGCAAGGAGGCTATAGTAAAAAGATTAAATAGCCTCTCATCATTAGATTTGCTGTTACTGATAATGCTTTGGAATAAATTTATGACTTCCTGGGTAACAACTAATCTATCTATGCATTAAGTATGGTTGAGTTGGGCACTCTGCCCAGTGTCCTGCTCCTCTGTCCTTATTCTTGACCCTTCTCTCCTGTTCCTTCAGCCACATTCAATATAGTAAGAGCCATGACACTGCTCTGTTCTTGAAAAAAACTGAGCGACAATTTGCCATCTTTCTCTCTTTGTTCCATGCTAGAATTCTACCAAGTTGTATGTTGGTTAATATCATGCCCATTGGCAGCATTATTAACATGATCTTGGCTGAAAGGCAAGCATGACCAATTTGGTTCATTTACTGTTAATTGATAATAAGCCATAACTGTTTTAAGCTGGTTCAGTCCCTGGAGTTATTTTAGGAACATGGTGAGAAATGCACGAGAGTTAGCATTGCAAATTAATTCAAATTTAGCAGATGTAGTGTTTATAAACATTCAATTATTATTCTATGCAAACATTATGCACTGCACAAAATTATAATTTCTGTGCTTCACTGCCTAGAATTCTTACTCTATTTGGCTATTTTTACCACAATGTAATTACCTTTTGCACTTTGTGCTCTCCTCTTCATTTTATACAGTTCCACACTTTGATTGCAAATCCATAGAAAGAACATTAGGAGAATAGATATTGCAAAAAGAACTGTAGTGACAACAACCACGAAATACAAGTCCTTATAAACAGGTTCTGTGGAAATACAAATATTAGAATAAACATATTTTCATCTAGAATAAATCTTTAAATGATAGATGTTGCATTGCCAGTGATGTATTTTTATAATTTTCTGATTTTGATCTGATTTCTTGTTAGAAAATGTAATACAATATTCATGTGGTCACAGTTATAAGTTTAAAGGAAACATTCAATAAGCAATAAACCATTAGCAATCTCTATATGCATCAATGATCACTGAGGCTACCTGCAAAAAGAAGGAAAATAAAGTAAATGAAGATAGTACTTTATTCTAAAATAGCATTAACATATTTTACACATGACACTAGCCTATGTCCTCTTGACATTTCTCTACCCTCTGCAAAAATTGTAATACTTTTAGTGTCTTTACAATGTTTGAAATTGTGACTTAATGATAATCAAATACAGTTCATTGATACACATCAGGAAGAACAGTGGTCTTCATACTTCCCCTTGTGGGATCTCAATCTATCCCTTCATCCAGTTAAAAAAAAATCACGCTTAAACAGTGGAATACTGCAGATGCTAGAAATCCAAATTAAAAATAGAAAATTCTTGCAAAGATTAGCAGATTAGGCAGTATCTATGGGGCAGGAAACAGTTAACATTTCAGATCAATAACCTTTCATCACAATAGAAAAATTAGGGTGTAGCATTTGGGGTGGGATAAGAAAAAGGAAGATCTATGATAGGATGGAATTTAAGAAAGATTGTACGTCAGCTGAGCTTGGCTTGTAGGGCCAAAGGTGTTGGCACAAGAAAAAAAGCAAATAAACAAAACGTGTCCACGGCAGGTATGCTACAGTCTGAAAGCAAAAATAAGAGAAAAACAGAAGCATGCAAAGAGAGTGAAACTATATGGGGAAACATAGTTTACCATTTGAAATTGTTGAATTTAACATTGATTCCAAAAAGTCGTGTCAAGCCTAATTGAAAACTGAGGTGCTGTTTACAAACCTGTAATAAGATTCATTAGAAGAGTACAACAGGTCAAGTGATGTCAGTGTGAGAGCAAGGTGGAGAATTGAAATGATAGGTAACTAGAAGCTTGGGGCTATGTTTGTGGACTGTGCAGAGATGTTCCACAAAGTGGTTACTGGATCATCCCCAACGGACTACAGTTTACATTTAAGCCTTCCCAATTTGGCCCCAACCGCGACGACCGCTACATTCACAACATTGATATTCTACAGAAGCGTTTCTCCCTGCGACTTCTGAAATACACACTCGCTGCAATGCGCCGGCATCTCCAAATACTACAATTAAGCTCAGAGCCTACCTCTCCCAGACCTGCAAAGGACCTCTCCTGTTTTTTATTCTTCGTAAGATCCACAAGCTGAACTCACAATTCTACTTGGCTTTATTAGACACTAAAAACCGAAAGTACTTTAAACTTACTGGTGCCTGCCACCATTACCAGGACCTTCCCCACCACGTGCCTGCCGCCATTGGCCATGTGGCCACCTTCGGAGCACCAACGGTTTCCATGGATGATGTCATATCCACCTCCGCCCGGTACACCACTTCCAGTACAGCCGACGCCATCGACACCGCTGCTGATGTCGCCGCCTCCGTTTTCGAGGCCAACACAGACATTGAGATCGCCGCTGCCACCAACATCCAAGATTTACCGGCTGACGTCGCTCCGCCCACCGCCGAGGTCGCTCGCCCACCGCCTCCGCAGCCAGCAGCTCCAGACGAGTCAATAGCACCCACCCCTGCCGAGACTTCACCATCCCCCCAGGCCTCCCCCTTACTGAGGACGAATGGTCAGTCCTCAGTAAAGGGCTCATCTTTTTCCCCCTCCACCCACACATCGACGAATACAACTCACGTTTCGACATTGAGCAGTTTTTCCGCCGCCTCCGCCTCCGTGCTTACTTCTTTAACCGTGAGCCTAACCCTCCCTCTACTGACCCCTTCTCCCACCTCCAACACACCCCCTCCTCCTGGACACCACCCCAACGCCTCCTACCCTCCCTTGATCTCTTCATCTCTAATTGCCGTCGAGACATCGATCGCCTCAAACTCTCCACCCCTCTCACCCACTCCAACCTCTCCCCCACAGAACGCGTAGCCCTCCGCTCCCTCCGCTCCAATCCCAACCTCACCGTAAAACCCGCGGACAAGGGAGGTGCAGTTGTAGTATGGCACACTGACGTCTAAATCGCCGAGGCCAGACGCCAGCTCTCTGACACCTCCTCCTATCGCCCCCTTGATCATGACCCCAACCCCGAGCACCAAACCATCATCTCCCAAACCATCCACAACCTCATCACCTCAGGTGACCTCCCACCCACAGCCTCTAACCTCATCATTCCCTAACCCTGCACCACCCGCTTCTATCTCCTTCCCAAAATCCACAAACCTGACTGCCCTGGTTGACCCATTGTCTCCGCCTGCTCCTGCCCCACCAAACTTATCTCCACCTATCTTGACTCCATTTTCTCCCCTTTCGTCCAGGAACTCCCTACCTACGTCCGTGACACCACCCACCCTCTCCACCTCCTCCAGAACTTCCAATTCCCCGGTCCCCAACACCTCATCTTTACCATGGACGTCCAGTCCCTATACACCTGCATTCCCCAAGCAGATGGCCTAAAGGCCCTCTGCTTCTTCCTGTCCTGCAGGCCCGACCAGTCCCCCTCCACTGACACCCTCATCGGCTTAGCTGAACTCGTCCTCACCCTCAACAACTTCTCTTTCAATTCCTCCCACTTCCTACAGACAAAGGGGGTGGCCATGGGTACCTGCATGGGCCCAAGCTATGCCTGCCTCTTTGTAGGATATGTGGAACAATCCCTCTTCCAAAGCTACACTGGCCCTATACCCCACCTCTTCCTCCTTTACATTGATGACTGTATCGGCGCCGCCTCGCGCTCCCACGAGGAGCTTGAACAGTTTATCCACTTCACTAACACCTTCCACCCCAACCTTAAGTTCACCTGGACCATCTCTGATACCTTTCCCTCCTTCCTGGACCTCTCTGTCTCCATCTCTGGTATCCACCTCAAAACCGATATCCATTTCAAACCTACCGACTCCCACAACTACCTAGAGTACACCTCCTCCCACCCACCTTCCTGCAAAAATGCCATCCCCTATTCCCAATTCCTTCGCCTCTGCCGCATCTGCTCCCGAGATGAGGCATTTCACTCCCAGACATCCCAGATGTCCTCTTTTTTCAAAGACCGCAACTTCCCCTCCACAGTGGTCGAAAATGCCCTCGACCGTGTCTCCCGCATTTCCCGCAACTCATCCCTCACACCTCCTACCCGCAATAACAACCAAAACAGAATCCCCCTCGTCCTCCCATACCACCCCACCAACCTCCGAATCCCAACGCATTATCCTCTGACATTTCCGCTGTTTGCAATCTGACCCCACTACCAAAGACATTTTTCCCTCCCCACCCTTATCTGCTTTCCGGAGGGACCACTCTCTCCGTGACTCCCTTGTCTGCTCCACACTCCCCTCCAGACCCACCACACCCGGCACTTTTCCCTGCAACCGCAGGAAGTGCTACACCTGCCCCTACACCTCCCCCCTCACCCCCATCCCAGGCCCTAAGAAGACCTTCCACATCAAACAGATGTTCACCTCCACATCTGCTAATGTGGTATACTGTATCCGCTGTTCCCGTTGTGGCCTCCTCTGCATCGGGGAAACCAAGCGGAGGCATGGGGACCGCTTTGCGGAACACCTACGCTCAGTTTGCAACAAACAACTACACCTCCCAGTCGCGAACCATTTCAGCTCCCCCTCCACTCCTTGGATGCCATGTCCATCCTGGGCCTCCTGCATTGCCACAATGACGCCACCCGAAAGCTGCAGGAACAGCATCTCATATTTCGCTTGCAGCCCAATGTGGACTTCACAAGCTTCAAAATCTCCCCTCCCCTGACCGCATCCCAACACCAGCCCAGCTAGTCACTGCCTCCCTAACCATTCCTCCCATCTCAAGCCGCACCCCCATCTCCTACCTACTAACCTCATCCCGCCTCCTTGACCTGTCCGTCCTCCCTGGACTGACCTATCCCCTCCCTAACTCCCCACCTACATTCACCTTCACTGGCTCCAACCCCGCCTCTGTGACCTATCTGTCACCTCTCCACCTATCTTCTCCTTTATCCATCTTCTATCCGCCTCCCCCTCTCTCCCTATTTATTTCAGAATCCCCTTCCCCTCCCCCATTTCTGAAGAAGGGTCTCGACCCGAAACGTCGAGTTTCCTGCTCCTCTGATGCTGCTTTGCCTGCTGTGTTCATCCAGCTCTACATCGTGTTATCTCAGATTCTCCAGCATCGGCAGTTCCTACTATCTCCCTAGCCTGTGATATTATTGACTTCATAACTTTAATAACTAACTATGGACTGAATAAATCAACAAATGATAAGCTATTACACACAGGAATAACTCTGTCTGGAATAAGCTGTTAAGAAACAAAGACAAGCTGTTATACAGACACTCAAGCAATTAGCCATGTCTTGCTGAGATTACATAAACAAAACTGTTTTGACACCTGTTTGATAAACTACATGCTTTATGCTCACAAGGACAACTGATTGTCCTGCAGAAGAATTTAAGGAGTTGACTACGGAAAAGCTGTGTCTTCGAACAGACAGTCAATGTCAACTGTAACAAGAAATTACTTTTGATAAGGAAGCCAGCTGCAGTTTTGTAGTAACTCAGATGAAGGACTCAAAAGAATTTATTAATATATCATCTCAGAGACCAAAGAGCAAAAATCTGTATTAGACTTGAACACCAGAACTCTACCTAAGCAGAACTTGAAAGAACAACACTGCAGAAGGACTGAACCCTGGAAACGTTCATAGACAGATCACTGTTGGGTTGAAGTTCTGGCAAGATTTCACCATTAATCATATAATAGCTAAGTCGGATCACAGGCTTATATTTACTTACATGAGGGATTTTATATTAGATGCTACATGCAATAAAGTTTAAACTATAGTTTCAGTACTTGATTGTCTGTGATATTTCTTAATAAGTAGCCGAATTAAAGGCAATTTGTGGTACTCACAACAACCCAATCCATGTTTGGTCTCCCCTGCGTGAACGAGAGAACAGTGAACAATGAATATAGTGTTCAAGACTGAAAGAAGTACATGCAAATTGCTGCTTCACCTGGATGATAAGAAGACATTGAAAGGGAAGGAGTTAGCATGGAAATATGCTTTTGGAAGCAGGTATGGTGTTGGGACTGATTGAGGAATTGACCAGAATATGATGGAGGAAATGTTTCCTTTGTAAGATTGAAGGGGGGATGGAAGAAGAAGTGTTGTTCTTGCACAACACCAGAGGTGATGGAAATGTCAGAAAATGATCCATTGAATATAAAGGCTAGTAGGGGTAGAAGCTGAACAGAGATTGTCTTCCACCCTATCATAGACATTACTTTGTCCTGGTTGAAATAACCCCATGTTTAAAACCTACTGCATCTCGACTTGAAACATTAACTTTGTTTCTCTTTTCACAGATGTTGTCTGACTTGTTGAGTATTTCCAGCATTTTCTATTTCTATTTAACACTAACAACTGCTTTTGTTTCACTTTTGGCACTTTCTCTTTTATTTTGGGGATTTCAACTTATCCTATTTTGTGGAATGTTTTTGGAAGTACAAATGCTCTGTATTATCTTCATTGACAATCTAATCAAAAAGCTTATTCATGTTAATCAAAAACAATTTGGGTTTAAAATATTGTGATGACCTTCCACAATTAATACTCACTTGTCCAATGAACTGCTAATTTTGTCCCTGATCAACCACTAATGAAGTCCCACCTGCCCCAGAGCTGTGTCATAATACACGTGAACAAGTGTGGCATGGTGGCTCAGTGGTTAGCGCTGCTGCCGCACAGCACCAGGAACCTGGGTTCAATTCCACTCTCAGGCAACTGTCTGTGTGGAGTTTGCACATTCTCTCTCTGTCTGTGTGGGTTTCCTCCCACAGTCTAAAGTTGTGCAGGTTAGGTGGATTGGCCATGCTAAATTGCCTGTAGCATCCAGGGGTGTGTGGATTAGATATGGGAAATGGGTACGTGTGGGATGGTCTTCAGAGGGGTGGTGTAAATTTGTTGGGCCAAATGGCCTATTTCCACACTGTATGGATTCTAAATTCACTGGGTTTATCATTGTAGCATTGAGTTTTGGACAAGTGTGTGTAATTAAGAATTTTCCACATATCTTTGGAACATTGGAAGGATAAAGGTCAGTAATTGTGCAATTTCCAACCTTGCTTCCTGAAGCATCCACAGATGCATCCTATCCACTCATGGTGACCAAGCACCTTTAAGTGCATTCACTTTTTTTTTTATATCTCATCTTTATTAATGTTTAGCCCATCCAGTAGTTTATATACTGTTTCCTTTGCTGTGACATGGTCAGCAAATTCATCCCCTCTTTTCCTGTACTATTTTCTTTTTCACTTCATCTCTGAACATTCTATTTTCATCCTGGATCTCAGTTGCATTATCAACCTGAGATTTATTGTACCTCCTTATTTTCTGCTGCATTTTATATTCTATTTCTTTCATCCTTTGATTATTAATTGGAAGCAGGAATCTTCTAAAGCTACTCTGCTGTTCAACAAGATCACAGCTGATCTAATTGCTCCACATCCCTGCCAACACCATAGCCTTTACCTCCTTGCTTATGAATAATCTATCGACCTCTGCCTTAAAAATATTCAAAGACTTTGCTTCCACTGCTTTTTGAGGTAGAGGTTTCCAAAGATTTGCGAATTCTTGAGGGAAGAAAATTCCCTTCAACTCTGCCTTAAAATAGTGACCCCTTATTTTTAAACAGTGACCCTTAGTTCTAGATATTCCTACAAGAGGAGACATGTTTTCCAAATTCACTCTGCAAATGCCCCTCAGGATTGTATGTTTCTATCAAGTAACCCCTTGATCTTTTACAATACAAGTCTGGCCTGACCAAATTGTCCTCATCAACAACCTGCTTATTCCAGGGACTAGTTTAGTAGACTTTTTCTGAACTGTTCCCAATGGAGTTGTGTTCTTTATAAAATGAGGAAACCAAACTATATACAGTACACCACACCACATGTGGTATCACCAGTGCCCTATATAACATCCCTGTTTTTATATTCAGTTCCCTTGCAATAAGCAATAACATTGTATTAGCTTTCCTAATTGCTTGCTGTACTTGTACATCAAATCTTTTACAATCACAGACAAAGGCACTTACATTCCTCTGCACCTGATTCTCTGTAATCTGTCACCATTTATGCAATATACTTATTCTTTATTCTTCCTGTCAAAAGGGGCAATTTCACATTTTCCCACATTGTACTCTATTTGCCAGACATTTTCCCACCCACTTAACCCATCTATATCACTTTCTAACCTCCTTATATCATCTTCATAACTTACTAACCCACGTATATTTGTGTCATCAGCAAGTTTAGCTACCATGCCTTCAGTCTCTTCATCCAAGTCATTTAATAAATAGTAAAAAGTTGTTGCCCGAGAACTGATCCCCATGGTACAAGACTCCTTATATCTTGCTAACCAGAAAAAGACCCATTTACACCTATTCTCTACTTCCTGTCAGCTACTCAATCTTCTGTCCATGCCAATATATTATCCCCTACACCATATGCAATGGTTTCCCTCCCTTTACCCCTCATGGGAATGTACCTTGACTGTTCCCAAATGATCTATTCTTTAGACATATTCCAGGGTTCAATTACAGTTTTGCCTGCCAATGCTTAATTCCAATTTACCCAGGTCAGATCCATCTCAGTCTATTGTTTCAGAGTATCTCCATTTAGTTCTTTTAATCTAGAATTCTTCTTCATCTTTTGCATGCTAACTTAAACTTTGAGCACAGTCCCCGTTCCATACTGAAACTTGATCCATTTGACCCTCATCATTGTCAGAAAGCAATACCTCCTTCCTCATTAAGTTAGAAATATACCGATGAAGAAAATTCTACCCAAAACATTTCAGAAACTATTTATTTCTGAGCCCCCTTCCCCATTTCTGAAGAAGTGTCCTGACCCAAAATGTCAACTCTCCTGCTCCTCTGATGCTGTCTGGCCTTCTGTGCTTCTCCAGCTCCACACTGTGTTATCTCTGACTCCAGCATCTGCATTCTTGCTATCTCAGAAACTTCAACGTCCTTTATGGTCTGCTCCTGGTCCATACAGAAACTTGAAAATGAAAATAAAACCAAATATTTAGTTCTCTTGTTGGCAGGATTGGGTTTCCAGCATGTTCAGCATATTGGGAGCGAGGGGAATGCTCTCACTGCCTCCGCACACAGTTTAGTCCTTGTGGTTAAGGTAGCTAATTTGGTCCTGATGATATTATTAGTTGATATCATCAATATCAGTTAATATTAATTGATTTGTTTATTGAAGATAGAATACTATTTCCTCCCTTTGGGGTGTTGCTCATCTGGTCGAAAGAGTAGGTTTGTATGGATCATGCGGAGGAAGGGAGCAGGATCCGTCTAGGACAACTCCCGGTATTTTCACTATCTCTCTGCCTGTTTTCCATCAGCTGGAGCAGTTAGGCTTGGGCTACTGTTTCTATTTGAGACAAGAGGAAATCTTGAATTGAAGCCAGATGTGCAGAAAAAAAACCAAAAAGTGAATTGTTATTCATAACTTACCATTTATATTCAATATAATAACACCATCCTTGCTGCTTCCTACTTTATCTGTCACTGTCACAACATAGCAGCCAGCATCATATAATTGAACATTGGAAAGCTGGATGGACCCATTTCTGTATTCCTGAATCCGGTCTTGATAGCTCTCTGAAATATTTTGATAATTGCCTGGTTCCCAGGTGATGATGCTTTTCATTCCCTGTGGCGATAGCTGTCTCCATCTGATTGTAGGCACTCCAGTGCATCTATATTCCACTGATAGAATAGCGCTTTCATCCACTGAAGCACTGACAAAATGATGAGGTATTAGTACCATAATTCCATTAGCTGCAAAATGACAGATTCAGATGTGTTGATTATGATTATATGATTATACAATTCCACTTCTCAAGTCACAAATATTTTTAATCAACCTCTTTAGACAACCTTGAGCACATAGGAATTGAAAGCAGATTTCCTGGCTAAAAAGTAGGAACACTTACCACTGCACCATGAGTGCCTCTATTCCTTAAGTTATTTGATGAGGCAGAAAAAGTTGAGAGTAGTTGTAGAAGTGTTTATTGGTGCCATACAATCAGCACTAAGGTAAGACCTTAAGTGTCCAATCTGAGCCACATTGGTGGTCAGGTATTGAGTACTAACTGTGACATCTCTGTATAGTAGGAGACAGAGAATTGAACAGGCAGGTTATGCCTGTATTAAATAACACAGTGTGGAGCTGGAGGAACACAGCAGGCCAGGCAGCATCAGAGGAGCAGGAAAGCTGACGTTGCGAGTTGGGACCCTTCTTCAGAAAATTTTCAGCTCCACACTGTGTTATCTCAGACTCCAGCATCAGCAGTTCTTACTATGCCTGAATTAAAACTGCTTTTGAGATAAAAATACAAATCTGTCAATTGTAGTTTTCGGGATGAAGAATTCCTTTTCATAAATCTGGAACTTTGAGTCAAATTGTACCCAAGCCCCTTTTTTTGCCAATCAACTTGTACTGAGCTGGGTTTATTAAAATGCAATCAAATTAACAATAAAGATAAATGTAAGTATTTGACAATGAGTTTCAAATTAGAATCGGACATGGTGGCTCAGTGGTTAGCACTGCTACCTCACAGCGCCAGGACCCGAGTTTGATTCCAGCCTTGGGAGACTGCCTGTGTGGAGTTTGCACGTTCGCCCCGTGTCTGCGTGGGTTTCCTCCGGGTGCTCCGGTTTCCTCCCACAGTCCAAAGATGTGCAGATTAGGTGGATTGGCCATGCTAAATTGCCTGTAGTGTTCAGGGAGGGGTAGATAGGTGGGTTATAGGTCTGGTTGGGATGCTCTGAGGTTCGGTGTGGACTTGTTGGGCCGAAGGGCCTGTTTCCACACTGTAGGGATTCTATAGGACAAAGTTGAATCAGAACTAATGGAGCTGTAGGATTCTAGGGTGGCATGTCGTGTTAACTGGTGCACCCTGAAAGCTCGCATCATCTAAAGGTTATCCGGACTTGGTTAATTTGATAGCCACAGTCAATGCTGTCCATGCCTGGTTTGGAGCTTGAGTTGTGCCTGCACCTAGTAATTTTGTGTACTGACAGCCTTCTTGCTGAAACAAAGACACGCCATGATTGTATTTCTGAAAAGTTCCTGTAGAAAAAAATGCAAGCTGAATTCACATTGAGTGTATGCTCTCTTGCCTCGTGCCCACCTCCTTCAGTGCATCATTAGCAAAATCTACTCTGGGATTAGAATTCAAGTTCAAGTTAAATAAAAGGCCAATAGGGAAAACACCCAGATAATAACTAGTAGCCTAAAATAACAAATGCGTAACTACCATGAATGTACTAAGTGCCTCTTCAATTGTGCTACTTGCAAGACAGCAAGAATGCTGGCTGGATGATGCAGTGCTGAGGTACAATAATATCAAAATAGGTTCTTTCAACAAATACAGGACTTTAACTCAAATACATCTTTCAGTGTTACTTATTTATACAATGAGCCATTGACATAGTTGAGTGCTAGTGAAGCCTCAATAAGTCATGGCAGGCAAGACATTGCCATCTTATAAAATAGCCCACACTTGTTTGATGCATGTTGCATGCTTACATATATTCCTGGAGATTAAAAGAATGGGTGTGTGTAGTCATATTTCTAGGCCACGGCCTCTTTACACTAAATCAAATTAAATTAATTGATTCAAGAGTTGAAGTGAACTTTACCTATGGTGCCTATGTTTGTCTTAAACAATCATGTTTGCTAAGTAAACTTGCATAGCAATGCATTGACTTATTCTTTATTCTAGATAGGCTATTTAAATCTATCCTTTATATTAGCAGAGAATTACAATGTAAATACAATTCTGAAGCACTTGGCTAAGGTCTTATGTTAAATATTGGATAATTGTGAAAGGGTCTGTTACTCTATAGTGGTATGTAATGTTAGAATAGTGAGTCAGCAAAGTAAGTCACAGATATCACAGATTTGGTGCAAAATCAACAGTTTGCATCCCAGCATTTGCAAAAAGGGTTTAATAACTAAAAAATTGCCGTGGATGAATGTTAAATGGTAGTATTACCTTTTCTCAAGCAAGTTTATGAAAATAATGAACATGAACATAATTTCTCCTTATGCTTTGCCCTATGTTAACTAGGTATTTATAAATTCAGCTTAAAGTGGATTTTTTAAATATGTTGACTTTATCCTACAATGGTGGTGCTTTCTAATGCATTAATAAGTGGTTGAGATGAGTCATTTATTTTTAAGGAAAAAAATAAATTTGAAATCCCAGTTATTTACTGAAAAAGTGAGGCCATAGATTCCATAGTTTAAAACAAATTAATTTTTCCTACATAAAAATCAACCAAAGCAAACATTACTGCTATCTTAGGTAACTTCCAATAGTCTAATACCAAGAATCAACATAAGTTAAACATGAATTACAGGCAAATTGTAGTTGATCATAAACTATTAATTACACGTTGAATGGCAAATACAATTAAAAGAAATTTTATGAATTAGCTCATCAGCTCAGTCAGCATATATGTCATCAGTCATACTGATTGTCAATGCTCAGACTTCTCCATGAAGAATTTCAGCTTCTCTTTTTCAAGAATTTAGCCTGACCCTCAGTCAACAACAGATACAATCAACTCAAGTTCCATAGTCACAACATTAACTATAGATGGTAGGTTTCAGCTTTAACTTCTCAATTCCACATATGATGGTCCAGATTGTGTATCTTAGCTTGTTCTCAGCTTCTGATTCTATCCTTTATCTTCTTCAACCTGCTGTACTACACCATTAGGCTCCTCATCTACCGAGCTCTGATGACCTATTATATGCTTTCAACCAGTTCCATACTCCTCAGAAGCTTTTAATTTACAAATCAGTTGCAGTCATTAGCAGTGATGTGTTCAGTGGCAGGACCTGAAGTGAATGACACTTAAGGCAGGATGGTCAAACAAATAGGTCTACGTGTGAGGAGCATGATGAATCATGTGGCAGAGTCTGGCAGGAAGTTGGCAGCCCTGCTTCTATCTCATGTAGTGTAATGCCTATACACTGTATGTAAAAGGCACCCAGACTGGCACTAATTTCCTGAAAGCCAGGAACATCACTTTGGCTCAGAGATAGTAGGAACTGCAGATACTGGAGAATCCGAGACAACAAGGTGCAGAGCTGGATGAACACAGCAGGCCAAGCAGCATCATAGGAGCAGAAAGGCTGACGTTTCGGGCCTAGACCCTTTGGGCCTAGACCCTTCATCAGAAATGGGGGAGGGGAAGGGGGTTCTGAAATAAATAGGGAGAGAGGGGGAGGCGGATAGAAGATGGATAGAGGAGAGGATAGGTGGAGAGGAAACAGACAGGTCGAAGAGGTGGGGATGGAGCCAGTAAAGGTGAGTGTAGGTGGGGAGTTAGGGAGGGGATAGGTCAGTCCAGGGAGGACGGACAGGTCAAGGGGGCGGGATGAGGTTAGTAGGTAGGAGATGGGGGTGCGGCTTGAGGTGGGAGGAGGGGATAGGTGGGAGGAAGAACAGGTTAGGGAGGCGGGGAAAAGCTGGACTGGTTTTGGGATGCGGTGGGGGGAGGGGAGATTTTGAAACTT